TCTAGCCATTATGTTTAGGGTTGGGTGCAAAGCGTGCTTGGAGGATCCCTATGAAGTCACGACATGCTTGCTGTGGGAGTGTTTGTCTTTTTCCCTCCATATAGTCTACATTTTCTCAGACTGGAAAGCAACAGCAACTCTGAGACAATCTTTTCTTTTTAACTTTATGGAAGAGGGCTTAGAATCATAGAAAATGAGGATATGAAGGGACCTCAGGAGGTCAGCTAGTCCAATCCCAAGCTCAAATGCAGGACCATCCCTGACTATTATTTCTTCAAAACACATTTAAGCAATGAACTTTTGGCCCTTTAAAATTAAATAGGGCTTTCTAAAGAGAAAACTTTAGTATTTCATAAATAATGCCAGACTGATAACACTTTTCCACGAAGGAGATCTAGCACATGGGCAACTCAAATGTCTCCTGTACTTTAAAAACCACTCACAAGGAAGACTGTTGATAGGATAAAGAGATCTTTGGCTTCTGCTAAGATTGTGATCATTTAGTGCTGAAAACAATGGAAAAAAAAAAGTCTTTCCTCAATAAGACTGACTGCTTACAGAGGCTCTATTCACCCACTTTTACATGAAAATGAGTACGTTATGCTCACAAGGAAAGTGACTCTACAAAATCCAGCTCTGTTTCTGTTCATGAATGTAGCACCCAGACTGCTGTCTAGCACTGCAGGTTGAGACTATATGATCTCCAGTTAAAGCCAGGGCAACAAATCAAACAGCAGCATTTTCTAGTAGTTTAGCTAGCCCTCTAATGACTTATTTGGGGTTCATTTTGAGTCTTATTTTTCTATATTTAATCTTTTTCTTTCATATAAAACCTCAAGAAAATGCATTTGTTTTCCCCCTTACCTCCTCAGAAAAAGAGGGGCTTTCTTTATGTCTTATATGAAAAAAAGATTAAAACAGAAGTAACTGGCCTGTACCACAGAGTGGATATTCCAAGACATTACAGAGGAGATTTTCTTAAAACATGTAACTACTCTTTTAAAACCCACTTTTGCCACGAGAATCACTCATTATCAGCTAACAAAATGGTAGGGCTGATGGGCAGCTGGAGAAAGTTGATGTTGATCTAATTTAATTAATTAAAAATATATAACAATGCATTTAAAATAAACATACCAGATACTCTCTTCTTAGCCCTTCACCTTTTATATGTTACTGATCATCTTATGTAGCAACCTCTTTAAGGAAGGGATTGAGACAACCCTCTCTTTACACAGCTGCTAACACAGCACAGTCCTAATCCTTAGTAAGGTCTGTGTGGACTTCTCTAATATAAATACATGTACTTTCAAAGAGGTTGGAAATTGTATTCTTGGTGACCACTGCTTCCAGGGTCCAGCCATAATTACCCTTCACCACTTTTCACTGTTGGTTTGGAATAACGGACAGCAAAAAAACCAGACCGATAATGTTTAAATGGATCCAGAGATTAGTGTCATACAAAGCAGGGTGCATTGCAGTTCAGGTCAGAAAAAAAGCATATTGCTATCTCTCCCCTGCAATGTCTGTAAATCTGAAGAGGAAACGTCACTTGATCAGGGCTCCCCAACCTACAGCCTATAGGCTGGATCTGGCCCATGAAGTGATTGGATCTGGCCTGTAGCAGCACAAGGTAAAAAAAACAAAACAAAAAACCAAACCCAAAGAAAGCCCCCCTTAAAAAACAAACGTTCAGCAGTATGCAGCTTGCTCCAGTATGTCTGTTGCCTCTGGCAGTCCACTCCACAGTACTCCCTCCAATGATGCTCTCTTGGTGCCTATGACAAGCACTATTAATCCTCACCACCAAATCTGCCCCTCACCATTGCTGCTGAAGATGGGAATCCATTACCTGTGCCACATGCCATGGATGTGCCAGCATGTGGTGGAGACAGCAGCAGACACCTTGGGTGTTGCAGAAGGAATTGGTAGCTCATGGCTGTGGCCGAGTCAGAAGTGGAAACCCACCACTCACGAGTTGCTGACCCAGGCACTAAATGGAATCTCTCAACTCAATGGGTCCTGGAACCACCTTATCTCCATTAGGCACTCTGTTATGCTGTTTAATGGTTTACTGAAATGCAAAGGACTCACTAGAGTCCTATGCCAGCTTCTTCATTCCCTTTTTTGGACTGCATTGCTTTTAAGTCTCTAATGGATCACTTGCTTCCCAACCCCAAAATCCCCCCATGGTCTACTCAAGTTAAGAAGATGCTACATACGGGAACATGAGTCAGGATAGTTGATGCTAGCAGCTCACGAGCTTCTTCCATCTTTGTTTTCTTTGGGCCTCCCCACATCCTTTGCCTTCGTACCTTGTTTCCTATGTACTTTAAGGCCTGTCAAGGGAGATCGACACAAGATTTAACACTGGCAAACAATGTTGTACATGTTTTCACATTATTATAGTCTGTTAGCTGTGAATAGTGCTCTTACAAAGTTAAGTGAAAAAAAACACACATATCTATAAATAATTTATTTTCTTCATAAATATCACAGGATGCTTCTCAGGTGATCAGCCCATGCACATAACAGACAATAAATAACATTGCACATTTCAATATCACACATGGGTAACATTTAGAAGCGAGTAGGAAATGGTGAAGGACTATAATTACCTCAGTACAGGGAGAAAGAAGGATCAAGGGAAAATTAGCAAAAAGGCTACATCTCAAACAGAGCCACTAACTCCAATTAACTTCTTATCTTCAATTCTGTCTCTTTACTGATTGTCAATTTCATCACGTATAAAAAATTAATCACTTGGACCTAAAATTACATAATTTAATTTACTTTCCTTGTCACATCTGGGTACCTATAGCTCCCATTATCACATCATATGATAGAACCCTCCCTTAAGTCAAACCTATGCTCACATCCCTTCTGTGACAAGGAACGTGGGCTCAAAGGCCATTTTTACATATGTAAGTGCTGCAATGCTGGGCACTCTGAAAAGCACCCAGCACTGTGTCATTTGCAGTTGAATACGTGGCAAAATGTGCAGAGCTGAGAAAGTGGTGGTAGCACACTTTGGAACTAAAACACATAGAAGGTGTTTAAGTTCAAAAGTGCACCGCCACCATTTTCTGCACACTAACACACATTTCACCACTTACACAACTGAACATGGTGCAGCACAGTTCACATCAGCTTGCACGTAGAGCAGACTCAATTAAATCGAGTCTTCTCCGAAGGAGCGGCTCTCCAGCACGCTGTGGAACAAAAAGTTGTGTGTATAAAATGCCCAAAGACATTACAGCGACTTGCTCAATGTCACGAAGTCTGTAGCAGAGTTGGAAACTGAATCCATGTCTGTCAAATGTGAACAAAGTGCACTAAACTGTCCATGCATCTTTCTTCCCTAAATACCATCATCTCTGTGCAACGTGTCTTCATTTCATTTGGCACTTCTTGCACAGAACATTTACTTTACAGGTTTTTCTACTTTCTTTATGCTTCATGTCTTCAGTTGCTTCTCAGTTGCTCCTCAATTTTATTATTTTAATTCCTAAAAGGGCTTCAAAGTTCAAATCCTGACTTGTTCCAATTGATGAAAGCAAGAAAAAGCGAGGAAAAAAAAAAAGGGCCCAGTTTATCAAACCCAAGATTTCCTGGAGACAGTTTTCACTATATTTATAATGGAAGAGCAGGAATAATACTAATCTTCAAAATCTTACTCTAACATAATATACATAAGATAATGTATATGATAAACTAGCCACCAGCAGAGCAGCTGGTGTTTCAGATAATTAAAAAAAAAGAAGTGTTCATAGTCTGAAAAGAGTTCCGGCTAGTCCTTAAGGGGATGGACAGTAGCCATTACCATTTGTTTTAGACAGTGGATTGGAATCTGAGTAGAATCCACTCCCAGTGAAAGTGGTCAAAGCCACAAGTACAAGGTTACTTGAATATATGATACGACTTGCTTAAAGTAATATAATATTATGGCCTTTGCTACACTCCCTGCAGACACTGAAGACAGACTATTTGGCATCCACGTACAAAAAAGCATGCATTGGCTTCATTTCTTCTTAGATAATTAGAGCAGAGATTCTGATTTTGGGCAGTACCTGTCAAAAAAAGCAAAAGCTAAGAAATACGTGAAACTGCTTTGTGAACAACCCTCATGCAAATGGCAAATATTCAACATTTAGATTTCATGGCTGATGGCCAGATGAAAAGACACACCTGCATCTGTGTAAAAATCTGAGCTTTTTGGCATTCTTCCAAACTAGGAGCAAATGCAGCCATCACGTGTTCCTCTGTACCAATCATCTGTACAATCTCTTGGTCACTTTCAACACCCATGGCCTAGGAAAGGAAGAAAAAAAGACAGAAATAGCACTGGCTTTATGTTAACTCACTGACATTTGCTTATGCTAATTTCGTATTGTTTGTCAGTATTACTTCTAAGCAAAAGCTCGTTCTTCTCTCAGAAATTGTGCCATCTGGTATTGGCAGCACATACTCAAGCTATGGAAGAACCTGAAATGGAAATCCTGATAAGCAGCAGGAGAACAAACACTCTGGAGTGCCTTTTGCTTGTGTGCTCTCTGCTCCTCATTTGCAGGAGTTTATTTTTGTTAAGAAATATTATGAAACTTAAACACTGACCAACAGTAACCTTACAAATTTAACAGAGAAACTTCATTCAAGAGCTACAGTAAATAAAGGAAGGTGACGTTACCTATGAGATCATACACGGGTTCTTACCCTAAGCAGTTCTGCAATCTTAATTGTTTGTGTTACAGCGTATGCTATTTGAGTAACTTTTACAATTTGCTTTCTTTGCAGCTATGTGCATTTAGGAGATGACTTCACTACAAAATCCCACTTGAAAGCCATTCTATTATTTCACTGATCCTTAGACACCTTGTTATACTTTATACTGTGGAAAAAGCTTAATAAACTAAGAAAGCGCTTAACAGGTTTAGAAAAATCTCTCTATAAATAAGTGTTTCAAGGTGGCAGCCAGCAGTGCAGGCCTTTGTGGATTCCAGATGGTGCTAAAGCTTTTCTCTTCACACATTTGTCTGGATTTCTGCCATATCAAGAAACAGGGAATAATCTCCCTAAACCTCTTTTGGCGGAGTAATAATATGCTTCTCAGAAGTTGTGGGTAAGTTATGTTTGCATTCATATTCTTCTTTAAGCTGAACACAACAAAGACCATTGTAAATAATGGCCTAGGTAAACTGTAGTTCACTGGCTCTTATTAAAAACGGGCAGTGTGCCAGTCACATATTCCTGAAAAAATGCATGAATACCTTGGCCTTCCTACTGTCTTCACTGGGGTGTTATCCTACTTCACATCTAACTAGTGCCATCCCTTCTGACAAAGGGGACAACAAACCTTTTGAAAGATGTTAACCCCATCTCTACACTTTTCAAAGAATTCTGGCCAGTCCTTAAAAAGAATGGTTGGTGGCCTTAACTTTTGGTTTTACGTAGTGGATTGGAATCTGACTAGAGTCCACTCCCAATGAAAGTGGTTACAGCCACAGATAAAGAATACATTATGGGATGCACCATAATCTAAGAATATTTCGGTTTCAACGCAGACTGGCTTAGTCCAAAGTTAAATGATCTCACCAATCCAGATCTGGGGGCAAGGTTCTGATACAATTAACCTCATGATTGACACTCTAATTCAAATCCATGTAACAAGTTGTCACAGGCAGTAACTAGGCTCCATGACCTCAAGGTCCTTTTTCAGAGTAAATACCAGAATCTGGCCTCAAAAAAAGGTAATAATTGTAATTCAATGTATTCAAGATTTGTAGCATTCCCAATAAATCTACACTAAAGGAACATGAAACATCTCATCAGGAAAATCATTAGTGCTCTTTATGTATTAGAAGTAAGAGAAAAGGAAAGAATCTACAAAAGCATATAAGGCTCTATACTACATGTGTAGCTTGCGATGAAACTAGCTTAAAAGATGGAACTAGCTCAATTTAAACCCTGTTATAGCAATCCTCTCAGAGAATTTTGACAATGAGAGGCCCTGTTAAAGCACAGTGCCAATTACATTATCACCGTGCATCTAGACAAGCAGATCTGGAATATAAAGAATACTTGAGACAAGAGGAAAATTCAATTATGTTTAGCCCTTATAGGTTAGTTTTATTACTGAAAATGTACAATGCAACAGAATTAGCATGCATAAAATGGGTTAAGTGAGTGGAAATAATCTGTTATACTAGGTACTTCTGTCCATCCTAGAACAGTATCCCAAGAACTGATAAAGCCTAAATTAATGCATTCCTTTTAAAAACCAACCCAGAAGGAGGAGTTATGTTATGGCTCAGTATGTGGTGATTTAAGATGCTTTCTGTAGCAACTAACCTCCAACCACCTGATCTACTTTACCACCAGACAACAAAACAGGAAAGATACTGTTGTAAAACACGACGCATGCAGAAGACCCACCATCGTGTGCTGCCAGCTTCTACCAGCCAAATTAAGTTGACAACATCTGCCACAGTTTGAAAACTGTGGGTCAAGGGAATTAACTTACAAAGCAAGATTGAGAGAGGCAGGGTAAATAACTGAGAGGGGGAGTGCATTGCATTAGGGGTTTCTACCCAATCTTCCCTTCATTTCAAATTAAGGTCTTCTTTCCAATCTCTTTTCTACCTGTTCTTCATATTTAATGATTAGTCAGAGTTTTATACATTGTGGATAAATGGTTTCTGCACAAGGATTTGACAACAGGTTCTTGCTGAATATATATTAATTTTGAAATTTCAATTGTTGTTGGTTGCTTAATTGAGATTTAAAATGTGATTAAAATTGTCTAAATACTTCTAAGGCAGGGTGGACAAAATGATTTAACAAACAAACAAAACAAACAATGAATTTCCTGCTAACTGTATTCACATTTAAATGAATTGCTTCAGAATCATTTTATTAATATCAGTAAATTGATTGGCATCACGTTGTCATGAGTTGTTTCTTCATACTATGAAAAGTATGTTACAATATAATGGAATTAACTGCTCATCTAAAATCAGCATGTATGCAATGCTAAGCATGACAGACAAATAAAACAGGTCTTTGTTCATCCGATATGTTCACCAGCTTGATTATTCAAGTTTACCTTAATGCTCTCTTTTCATCAAGTGTCCTGACGCTGCATCGCTCGTGCGCAATGCCCTGCAGGACTGACACCTTTAACATTCAAGACAGCTGGGATCTGCCACCCCAGAACATTATTACTTGTTACAGCAACCCTCAGGGCAGTACTGGGTACTGTACAGATATGGAGGGATGGTGTTGGATAAGTTTGGAATTAAGAACAGAGGAAGGGAGAAGTATTACAAAATAGAAGCAAGTTGTTCAGGGAAGAGATCCATATATGGTTTAGATGCGTTTTCATTAATGTCAAAAATGGAACGTTTAGCTGTTGCAAAGAAGGAGAGAGGGAGGAAGGGAAAGCATGTTTGTGAGAACAAGGCAAGGGAGGACAGGGAGGCTGGGCTGAAGCAAACAAGTGAACTATAAGAACGTCCAGAGTTCAAACTGTAATATGTAGTCTGCTGGGGCTGTGCTGCCTAAAGAGGTATGTGTGCATAGGAGGACACAAACCCAGCTCTTTTTCTCTCAGCCCACATCTTAATGAGGATGTCTAAGAGTTGCCATGGCAGTCCCCTAGAAGGCAGCTGGGTTACAAACTGGAACTGAGACTGGCAGGTGACTAGATTAAAAGATGTCAGAGAAGTTGACATCCCAGGTAGAACAAGTCTGAGACATCTGCGGTTCAGAAATAAGCTTTATGGAATTGGGACTGTATAAATTCCCAAGTCTTGCAGGTCCATAACACATTTAAAGTCACCAGTTTGGTGGTTTTTTGGTGTTTGTTTGTTTAAGATTATATGCTACAAGCTTCATATTATTGCAAAGTTACAACCATTTCTTAGTGAAAAAAACATAAATGCTGTTCATTTCTTTCTTTGTAGGTCCCACTGTGCTATTCACAGGCCTTGCCACATACAATGGTTAGCAAGTCTCCTTTTAAAAGAGAGTTCATTGTTATTTAAACTTTAGAATCTTGACTTTTAGGGCACTTTCCTAGGATGGCATTAAGGAGGGCCACACGGCATCCTTTTACACACTTTCTCAAACCAGAAGCAATAACTTGTTAGCATAGCACTAGATAAATGCTGGTAAGCTCTTCTGAGAGCACCACAGTAAACCTTCCATACTCGGTCCAGTTTGGACAGTAGCATGTGCAGAGTGGGCACAGTGCACTGCATTACAGTGCTCTCTCATGATATACTGCAGCAGTGTGGAAGTGTTCCTGAAGTTCCCCTTGGTCACCTGCAAAAGTCCTCAGCAATGCAGGTGCAGCAAAAGATCTTCTGTTATTCCAACTCCTATCACTCACCTCACATCTACAGCTGCTCAGAGAACAGAAGAGAAAATGTTTGGGGTTTTTTGCCTCCCGTAGAATATACTGTTGCTTGCATACACTACAGTAACTGTGGTTTCTCAAGATGATGCAATCAGTGTGAACCGGTGCAGGAGCCTATCTGAAAAGATGAACTTGTTGGGCCTGCACAGGGGCTTTGTGCCTCCTCATTTCCCTGTGCAATGCCAGAGGCCAGCAGGCTGGCTGTAACATGCCCTCAGTTCTCCCACAATTCAAAAATTCAGCCTGTACTGCTGAGAAATCTGCATGAAAGCAAGGATAGAGTACAGGTTGTGGGATGCATACAGACAAAACTGACAAGAACCAAGGTTACTGTAGGATGATTAAGTGTTCTCTTTCTTCCAGAACATGTCACAGGGTGGAGCCCACTGTAGGTGACTGGCTAGCAGCATCCTCCGAGGATAGTGGGAATGAAGAGCAGCAACTGCAATAGTCAGATTGAAACACTACTCTCCTGGACTTGGCATCAGATCCAGCAACTAAGTCCAGTGCCTCATACTGGACACATGTGAATAAGCACCTTGCAGATTTCCAGTACTGGTACATTGCAGATGATATTGCTTAAGTTTTGGTGATCTGAATCTTAAAAAAGTCAGAGGGAGATGTACACTAGCCAACAGGTTACACAAGAGAAGGCATTATGCATTCCAAGTCTGAGATGAAAAAGCTTGGTCCTTAGAATGGGTAGTTGTGGCTACAAGTAGATATGGATACAGTCTAAGATTGAATCCTGGCAGTGTCATATTACACAGCTCAAGAGTGTGGATCTGCTTTCCCTTATGTCAAACGGGTTTGGGAAGAATACAAAAGTTAGCTGACTGGTTTAAGGGAAATGCTGGAGCTGTCCTAGGAATAACGTTTTGCCCAGGGTCTCAGT